TAGCTTAGCTTTAGCTTGGCTTTAGCTTAGCAGCACCTTAGCTTCGGCTTAGCTTTAGCTTAGCTTTAGCTTAGCTTCAGCTTAGCTTTAGCTTAGCTTCAGCTTAGCTTCAGCTTAGCTTTAGCTTAGCTTTGGCTTAGCTGTACCTTAGCTGTACCTTAGCTTTAGCTTAACTTTAGCTATCTTTAGCTTGGCTTTAGCTTAGCTGCACCTAAGCTTTAGCTTAGCTTTAGCTTAGCTTTCGCTTAGCTTTAGCTTAGCTTTAGCTTAATTGTAGCTTACCTTTAGCTTAGCCTTTACCGTAGCTTCAGCTTAGCTTTAGCTTAGCTTTAGCTTAGCTTTAGCTTGGCCTTTCCCGCAGCTTTAGCTTAGCTTCAGCTTAGCTTAGCTCAGGTTTAGCTTAGCGGTAGCTTAGCCTTAGCTTAGCCTTAGCTTAGCTTTAGCTTAGCTTCAGCTTAGCTTTAGCTTAGCTTCATCTTAGCTTTAGCTTACCTTGAGCTTAGCTTAGCTTAGCTTTAACTTAGCTTTAGCTTAGCTTTAATTTAGGTGCAACTTAGATTTAGCTTAGCTTTAGCTTTACTGTTCCTACTAGTGCTGCTTTCCTAGGGGCTCCAACTCCTAGGTAGGGTCGCACTGGGATAATGTGTCTTACTATTGTTCTTATCATTATTATGTTTTGCGTCCTCTTCTTCATCCTCCTCCTCCTCCTCGTCCTCCTCCTCCTCCTCCTGCTGCTCCTCCTCCTTCTCCTCCTCCTCCTCCTCCTCCTCCTCCTCCTCCTCCTCCTCCTCCTCCTCCTCCTCCCATCACCCTTCCCCCCTGTCATGCGGGTAGTCGCTACAGCGCACGTGCGCATTTCAGCGTGCACTGCAGAATGGTCGACTAATCAATCCACTTGGTTTTCGGACGTCCAATTCTGCTGGAGCCTCCTGGACGCAGCTGGGAGGAGTTAGGATGATGCGGGAGGGCCCGGGAGGACTCGTAGATTCCAGCGGCGCTCCTTTTTCCAGAAGGATTCCTTTCCGAATCATGAAACAACTGTTTTCTGCGGAATCCACAGGCGGCGCTCAATTCTGACATAAAGACTCCTCCAGATATTCTATATGCAACAGCGGCGCTCTCTTGCACACGGCTGCTGTGGCACACAGGCACCATGGTGTACTCAGGCGCTGTAGTGCACGCAGGCATTGTGGTGTATATTGGTGTTGTGTTGCGCACGGCTGTAGTGGTGTACATAGGCGCTGTGGTGTACACAAGCGCTGTGGTGCCCGCAGGCACTGTGGCACACTCCGGCGCTGTGTTGCACGCGGCGGCTGTGGTATATAGGCGGTGTGGTGTACACAGGCGCTGTGGTGCACGCAGGCACTGTCGTGTACACAAGCGCTGTGGTGCACATCGCCACCTAAATGCTGCTGCTACCCGTCCTCTGCCATTCCTTGGCATTCCCAGATGCCGCAGGCGCGAAACGTGACGTCATCGGCGCCCTCCCCCGCCCCACCAAATGACGGCCACCATCGACCCGGAATAACTTATCCCAGTGCGACCCTACCTAGGAGTTGGAACCCCTAGGAAAGCAGCATTGGTAGTAACAGTAACGCTAAGCTAAAGCTAAGCTAAAGCTAAGCTAAAGCTAAGCCACAGCTAAGCTAAGCTAAACTAAAGCTAAGCTAAAGCTAAGCGAAAGCTAAGCTAAAGCTAAGCTAAAGCTGAGCAACAGCTAAGCTAAAGCTGAGCAACAGCTAAGCTAACGCTAAGCTACAGCTAAGCTAAAGCTAAGCTACAGCTAAGCTACAGCTAAGCTAAAGCTAAGCTAGAGCTAAGCTAAGACGAGATAAGCTAAGCCAAGCGAAGGGGGCGCTACGCTAAGCTATGCTATGCAATACTGTGCTATGTTATGTTATGCTGTGCTATGCTATGCCATGCTATGCTATGCTACGCTAAGCTACATTAGGCTAAGCTAAGCTAGGCTAAGCTAAGCTAAGCTAAGCTAAGGTAAGCCAAGCTAAGCTAAGCTAAGCTAAGCCAAGCTAAGCTAAGCCAAGCTGAGCTAAGACGAGATAAGCTAAGCCAAGCTAAGGGGGCGCGACTGGGGGAACCGCGGGGCGGGGACTGGGGGAACCGCCCGGGGCGTGTAGCACTGCCCGGCCCCTTTAAGCTAGAGGGTAAGAACCCTTCTAGGCAGAGCCTAGGTAGGGAAAAACAGATTCCAGCCGCGTCCGCGCACACGACGACGATGAGCGACAAGCGACGAGCGACGACGAGCGACGACCACGATGACGACGACGACGACGACGACGACGACGACGACGACGACGACGACGACGACGACGACGACGACGACTGCGGACCAGACCCCTATGCGGTTTCCTATGTGAACGCCCATGCGGATCCCGATACGCACGGCGGCAGTGCCCGGGGCGCACTGGGGGGGTGCGTTACGTCATAGGGTGGGGGGGGCCAGGGGCCAAAGCGCCCGTTATGCCCCAAGCAAGAAAGAGACATGCTCCTCTTCATCGCGTTCCGTTTGTGTGGACGGCCCCTGAGGCCCAGGAAGGGCCCCAGGAGCCCGAAAGCAGTGGCAAAAAGCTCCAGGGCCCCCCCATGCCCCTCTCTCTCCATGGCAATCCTCCCTCCAAGGGGGATCCCAGAAACACGCGTCTTCCTCCCAGGCAGCGGTAGAGGTGCGCTCGAGGCCCCGTGCACCAGCCAGAACCACCAAGTAGCTGGACTCGGAGTCCAACAGCTTGCGATTCTTGTGAAGAGGATCCCTGCGCTTCAGGCTTCGGGGCTTCTTCAGAGAAGACGCGCTTCGCCCCGAAACGGCTGCGGCCACAAAATGCACATGCAAGAGAGGGCAAAAGCGGACAAATGAGCCCAACCTAGGACGGGAACGATGTCAAGATACGACTGGCTCAGGAAGCGTTCCAGGAAGTCCTGAGTATCTGGCGGGCCTCGTTCCTGGAGCCCGTGCGGAACAGGAAATCTCGCAAATCTCTAAAACCTTAGACCGTATTATCGTCATGACTTCTTGCCCCTCTGACATCCGACCCTCTCCCCAGGGACCCTCCCCAAGTGTGAACTAACCCAGCTCGGCGCAAAGTCGGCCCAACCAATTTAGAAACAATCCGCCGACCCTGTCGGCGTGTGGAAGAGGCTTCTCCGTCTGCCTCCTCTTCGTCGTTGTCCTCGTCCATTCCCTTTTCCCATAACGTCTTCTCCTTTTCCGGGGCCTCCGCCTCAAGCGTTTCGGTCCAAACCGAAATTGAGCAACGTCGCCATTGAGTCGAAGGGAAGCCCCTTACCTTTGATCCCTTCCCCGGCACGGGGGGAGGGGTCCCGGGGAAGGATCCGGCGGAGGACCCGGGGGAGGACCCGGGGGAGGACCCGGGGCAGGACCCGGGGGAGAACCCGGGGAAGCACCCAGGGGAGGTCCCGGGTCAGATACACAGCCCCCCCCCCCTGAAGATGACCTCCCAAGGACGTTCCCAAGAGGCCCAAATCATTGATCTTCCATTGGAAAACGTACACTTTTGGCTTATACGACTTTTCGGCCTTCACGGCGTTGAAGACGTTGAAGACATTCCAAGAAGCCCCCCAAAAGGCCCAACACGGCTAAAGAGACTCCCAAGAGGCGCCCAAAACGGCCCAAGAAGGTGCCAAGACGGCCCCAAAGGCTACCAAGACGGCCCAAGAGGGCCCCAAGAGGGGCCCACGACGGGGAGCCCGAACCAACAATCCGAGTCTTCCGCCCCAAGAAGCTCCCTGGAGGCTCCAAGACGCCCCCAAGAGGTCCCAGGAGACCCCGAAGAGTCTCCCAAGAGGCCCCACAAGGCCACCAAGAGGCCCAACAGATGCCCCCAGAGACACCAAAACGGGCCCCTTCTCCACCTCCTCCTCCTCCTCCTCCTCCTCCTCCTCCTCCTCCTCCTCCCTCCTCCTCCTCCTCCTCCTCCTCCTCCTCCTCCTCCTCCTCCTCCTCCTCCTCCTCCTCCTCCTCCTCCTCCTCTCCTCCTCCTCCTCCTCCTCCTCCTCCTCCTCCTCCTCCTCCTCCTCCTCCTCCTCCTCCTCCTCCTCCTCCTCCTCCTCCTCCTCCTCCTCCTCCTCCCCTCCTCCTCCTCCTCCTCCTCCTCCTCCTCCTCCTCCTCCTCCTCCTCCTCCTCCTCCTCCTCCTCCTCCTCCTCCTCCTCCTCCTCCTCCTCCTCCTCCTCCTCCTCCTCCTCCTCCTCCTGCTCATACCTCCACCACCAGCCCCTGGTTGTTTCCCCTCACTGACAGATCGCTGTCTTCAGGGTCGGCGGCACAGGCCGTAAGGCCTTCGCAATACGCCGCAATTTTTGGAAGAGGCTGCCTTAACCTGGCTCAGCCAATAAGCGAGGCCACCTGCAAGGCGGCGAACGGCCCCCAAACCCGGCTCAGCCAAAATCTTGCTTTGCAGGATCCGGCAAGATTCGACGCTCTGGCTGACGTTTGCGCTGAACCCCCGTTTTCGGGGGCCCAAAGCCGTGTGGTAACGGACCGCGTGGTAACCTCAGAATCCCCAACGACCTCACCGCGCGGTCCGTCACCGCACGGTTTTGGGACCCTGGAGGCCCCAGCCGCCCGAGACGTCCACGGAGAACGACCCGAGTCCCAAAACCGTGAGGTGATCCCGAATCCCCACTGACTCACCACGCGGTGTGGTCACCGCAGCGTTTGGGGCTCCCCGACCATTTCGGACCTGCCAGCTGACCTCCCTCGTGGATCTTCTGACCCGGGTCAATCCAAACCCGGGTCAGTCAGGCCTTGCTGAATCCTGCAAGATCCTGCGAGACCCCACCCAAACCCAGGTTAATGAGAAGGATCTTGTAGGATCTTGCAGGATCCTGCACCCAAACCCGGGTCAATGCGGCCCTGGCCCTGAAGGATCCTGCAAGATCGGGCGCTCTGGCTGACCCCCGTTTGCATTGACCCCCGTCTCTTGAGCCCCGACTCCCTCCCGCGGCCCAAGAGCCCGGACCGGCCTCGCGCTCCAGCAGCGGCGCGGGCGGCGGTGGCGCCATCATCCCTGGCGGCGGCGGTGGCGCCCTCGCGGCGAGCACACCTCCGCTCGGGCGGGCGGCGACGACGGCGACGACGGCGGCGGCGGCGACGGCGCTGGCGACGACGAAGACGATGACGACGACGACGACGACGACGACGACGACGACGACGACGACGACGGCAACATCTACGACGGCGGCGGCTGCGGCGACGGCGACGGCGGCGGCGGCGGCGGCGGCGGAGAGGGCGGCGGCGACGTACGACGGTGACGTACGTAGGCGGCGACGACGGCGGCGACGGCGACGGTGGCGGAGGTAGCGACGATCACACGGCGACAGCGAGGATAGCGACGGTGACGACGGTGGCGCGAAGGCACATGTCCTTCCAGAAAACTAAGGGGAGGATCCCCTTCGGGCAACCGGCTGGGCCCTCGCCAGCAGACCTGAAGGAACCATCAGCTTGATCATAGGTCCTGCAGGCTCCTCCCTCCACCTCTTCTTCTGGGGGAGGAGGGTGGGAGGTTCAATCAGTCAGTAGAGTTCTATACCATCATTCGTGATTTCTGTTGCCCTTGCGTTCAGGTCCTGGGGAGAAAATGGGCCCGCATAGCGGGCGCCTTGGGCTGTGGTCCGCACCTCGCGTGACTGGCATTTCCGAGGATGGCTGGTCCGACCCGATCCTCCTCGTCCTCCCAACGCGGCTGGCGAGACGCGAAGCGCCAGGAATGCGAACTGGCCATGGGGGCATTGTTTCACGCCGTGGGGAACCATCGAACCATGCATCCAAGATGGTGCGCCGAGCGGCTCAGGGGAGGCAGGACCCAGCATCTGCCCCACCTGCTCCTCAGTGTATGAGGGTATGAGGGCCGGTGGGTGGGGACAACGCTGACGACGACGACGGCAACGACGACGACTGCATCCATGGATCATCACACTCTGACCAGTTACTGCTGCTGAAGGAGTCGTGTGTATACGCATGCGTGCAGGCAGGCCGATTATCAGCCACACGCTCCCCCCCTCGCTGGGGAGCGAAACCTGTGAGCCCCCCATCCCCAGACAGCACGCCCCGTGGGCCGAGAGCACAAAAGCATGGGCTGGTATAGAGCAAGGACGAGCTGCAGAGACGCCCTGCGGAGTCCCTGCATCGGCCGCGCCCTGCCGAGAGCTTTCCAAAGGATGGGCTGGCATCCCCTGAATCAAAGACCCTGGATGATACAGAAGCTCCCGTCCTGTATCCGAGTGCAGGGCAGATACATCCTGCAAGGCGTACCGGATCCGTTTGGGGCTGGCTTCTGCGCCTAAGAAGCTTCATACGCAGTATGGTAAACGTTACGCGCTGCCCGCAGGGGTTCACAACGTTCAACACACCTGTCTGGTTGGCCGGCCCTCCGCTTGTAGAGGGCCCCTCGGGGTCGGAAGGCAAGGCGGAAGAAGGGCACGCTGGCAGTAGAGGCCCCGTGTTCCTCCGGAAGGGAAGACAAAGATGACGATGCTGGTGATGATGATGCTGGTGATAATGATGATGATGATGATGATGCTGATGCTGCTGATGATGATGATGATGATGATGACGGTGATGCTGATGATGATGGTGATGGTGATGAAGGTGATTGTTATGATGATGCTGATGATGATGATGGTGGTGTTGATGATGAAGATGATGAGCATGATGATGATGAAGTTGATATGATGAAGATGATGAAGATGATGAAGATGAAGATGAAAATGAAGATGAAGATGATGATGATGATGATGCTGATGATGATGATGATGATGATGATGACGATGGTGACGAAGATGATGTGTGGTCGCAGTGGTGCGAATACACATGATCACCCGATGCCGTGGGCTGAGGGGGCCGCAACCGCGCGTTGCAGACGCAACGGCTGCCCGATTGTCCGACACACCCTGTTACGTTTGCACCCCTCCGCGCGGGTGTGTCGGCCGCGGGTGACTGGAGGGCGACCCCAGCCAGGCAGTACGGGCCCGAGGAACCATGGAGATGATGACCCTGCGTACGTCATCACCCAGGAAGGGAAGAACACGCCGATGAAACACGCCACTGTAAAGCACGCCTCCATGATGAAGCAAGCCGCCACGAAGCACAACTATCCTCGAAGCGCGCCTCCGCGAAGCACGCCTCCTCCTTGGCTCACACTTCCGTGGAGCACACCTCTGTGAAGCTCGCTGCCACGAAACAGCCTTCTTTAAGCACGCCTCCGTGACAAAACGCTCTCGTGAAACACACTTCGATGACGCAAGACCCTCCGAGGAACTTCGCTTCCATGATAAATCACGCCTCCATGATGAAGCAGGCCTCCGCGAAGCACAACTAAATTCGAAGCACGCCTACACGAAGCACGCCTCCTCGATGGCGCACACTTCTGTGGAACACACCTCGGTGAAGCTCGCTGCCATGAAACACGCCTTCTTTAGACACGCCTCCGTGAAAAAACGCTCTCGTGAAACACACTACGATGACGCAAGACCCTCCGAGGAACTTCGCTTCCATGATAAATCACGCCTGCATGATGAAGCTCGCCCCCATAAAAAGCATTCGATGATGAAGCACGCCTCCGCGATGCACGCCGGGATAATGAAGTGCACCTCCGCGAAACACGCATCCGCGAAGCACGCCCCAGTGATAAAGCACGCCTCCGCCTCCATGATGCGGAAGAACGTCTCCGTGGCCTGCAGGATGAAGTTCGCCTCCACGAAGCAAGTCGCCATTATGAGGAAGGCCTCCGTGAAGCGGGCCTCACCGATGAAGCACGCCTCGCGATGACGCCTGCCTCCGTGAAGCGCGCCTCGATGGAGCACGACGCCCTGGGGAAGCTCGCCTCCATGACGCAGCCCGCCTCCATTATGAAGCACGCCTCCGTAAAGCACGCTCCGATATTAAAGCACGCCTCTGCGAAGCATGCTCTGATAATGAAGCACACCTCCTCGAAGCGCGCTTCCGCGAAGCACGCTTCGGTGATGAAACACACCTCGATGATGAAAGACCGCATGCGGGCAACGCACCACGGTGAAGCAAACCTCCGGGAACACCTCAGTGAACACACGACGAAGACTTCCGTGAGTGGAGCATTCCAAAACCAGCATTGGCCTGGGCACCGATATGAAGACTTACCCGAGCCTCTTGAGGAAGAGCCCCACAAGCACTGCGAGCACCCCTGGGAGGATGAAGAACGGTGGACTTCGCGAACAGACCGCGAGGGTGAGGTACCCAACAGCGAAGCACTCCCACGAAGCTCTCGCGGTGAAGCACGCCGCAATGATGCACGCCACGACGAAGCACTCCACGATTAGACACTCAACGACGCCCTGATGAAGCGCTGCTTGATGAAATGCCCACGATGGGGCACACCCCGAAGAACCACACCAAAAAACAACAAGAGGACACATAGCGCTGGTGCCAACTTGGAGACTGCACACGAGCAGCCACGAGGCATATCACACGACGCTGCTGGCACAGTGGGGGCGCCAGACCCAGGCGCGGTCAGTCCTTCTCGTCGTAGGGCCGAGCCTGACTGAAAGAAACAAGGATGATCACCACTTTGATGTACAAGGGGACCGCGATGAAGGTACGCAGCGCTGCCGCGGCAGAGGTGGTTTCTCCACCAATCGCATATCCCAGTGAGCTCGCGGAAGAGGAAGATGACGAAGGGTACCACATGGATAGGCCGAGCCCGTTGACGACGGGCCGCCAGCGCATGAGGGACACATGGAGCCCATGAGGATGTAGAGGGACGTGAACGCCTGCACCGCTTTTGCACAAGGGCCGGATCTGGTGCAGCAAGATGATGATTTGTGGTCGCAGTGGTGCGAGTACACATGATCACCCGATGCCGTGGGCTTTGGCGGGGAGCCGCAGTCGCGCGTTGCAGACACAACGGCTGCCGTCTGGTCCGACACACCCTGTTGTGTCTGCATCCCGCCGCGCGCGTGTGACGGCCACCGGTGACTCGAGAGCGACTCCAGCCAGGCAGTACGGGCCGGAGGAGCCATGGAGATGATCATGATGAGGAGGAAGATGATGGTGATGATGGTGATGGTGGTGATGATGATGATGGTGATGATGATGATGATGACGATGATGATTATGATGATGATCATGATGACGATTCCGATGATGATGATGAGGATGAGGAGGATGAGGATGATCATGATGATGTCGGTGATGATGCTGCTGATGATGTTGATGATGACAGTGATGGCGATTATGATGATGATGGTCATGGTGATGGTGATGTTCATGATGATAACGACGATGATGTAGATGGTAATGATGATGATGATGCGAATGGTGATGACGATGCTGATGATGTTGGTGGTGATTATGATGATGACGGTGATAATGATGACGATTATGATGACTATTACGATGACGATGACGATGATGATGACAGAGATGATGCTGATGATGGCGGTGATGATGGTGCTGAGGATGATCAGGAGGAGGATGGTGATGATGGTGATGATGGTGATAATGACGATGATGTTGAACATGATGATGATCATGATGATGTTCGTGATGATGGTAGTGATCATCATGATGGTGGTGACGATGAGGGTGGTGATGATGATGATGATATGATGGCCGTGACGATGATAATGATGATGGTGGTGACGATGATGATCTGAAGACAATGGCAGTGATGTGATGACCAAAGAAACGCAGCCAGCGCCGAGGCAAGAGCGCCGAAGCGGATATAGGGAGTCAAACAACAATACTTGTTTTGAAATTGATATTCAGCCACGTCATCATCATCACCACTACCATCATCGTCAGCATCATCGTCATCACCACCATCTGCACCACCACCAACATCATCATCAACATCAGCATCAGCATCATCAACACCATCAGCATCATCATAAGCATCAGCATCCTCATCAGCAGCAGCATCCTCATCATCAGCATCATAAGTATCATCCTCATCCGCATCCTCATTATCATCATCATCACCAGCATCATCACCATCGTCATCATCATCAACATCACCATCATCACCATCATCACCATCATCACCATCATCAACCTCAGCATCACAACCCGCATCATTTGCATCATCTTCCTGGTCCTGAATTTCCTCCTGTTCCTCATCCTGATCCTCCTCCTCCTGATCCTCTTCCTCTGCCTCCCTGTCAGAGACCACATGCTCCGTTTTGTGCGTGTCTTTGGTCCGATCGAACCGTGAGGGTCCCAGGGAACGGATCAAACAGGCACGTCGTGTTTTTCGCGACGCCCGCATATTTGTCAGGTTCATGCCTCCCAGCCCAGGGTATGCTCAAAAACTATCCCCGCCCCGCCTTGCCACGATCCTGACCAAAAGTCCGAGCTGTGTCTGGCCGTGGCGAGTTGGGGGTCTGAAGACTCCCAAACAAGAAGACGAGGAGGCGGAGGCGGAGTAGAGGACGAGGAAGGGAGAAGGAGGTCCTCTGTAACCCCCCCCGGAGCTTCAAAGCCTCGAACACACTCCCTCCGCCCTCCGCCTCTCTTCCCCTGCCTGTTCGGGGGGCACGAGGAGTAGGACGAGGGGATGCCCGCGAAAGAAAGGGCGGGTGGGTGCCGAAGAGGTCGCCCCCGGCAACCAGCTCCAGGACCAGGAAGAACCAGTCCCCATCCTCGGCAGCTGCTGCAACTGCTACCTCTATCCCCTTCCCTCCCTCCCTTCCTCCCTCCTCCCTCCTCCCTCCTCCTTCTCCCCGTCCTCCTCCTCCTCCTCCTCCTCCTCCTCCTCCTCCTCCTCCTCCTTCTCCTCCTACTCCTCCTCTCAAAACGGCCAAAGAGGCATCCAAGAGGGCCCCAGGAGATCCTAAGGGCGCCCCAAGAACGGCCCAAGAGGCGCCCAAAACGGCCCAAGAGGGCCCCGAAACGGCCCCCAAAGAAGTCCAAGAGAGGGAACATGAACCCAAAATCCGAGCTTTCCGCCCCAAGAGGCCCCCCCAGGAGACACCGAAAGGCGCCCAGGAGGCCCCAAGATACACCCCAGAGGCCCCCAAGAGGCCCCAAGAGGCCCCCAAGAGGCCCAAAAGAGGCCCCAAGAGGCTCCAAAACGGCCCCCAAGAGGCTGCCAAACTGTCTCCAAGAAGCCCCCGAGAAGCCTCCCACGAGATCCCAACGATCATCCAATGGGCTTCACACCCACTACCCAGGCACGGTGGCGGCATGGGCCGAAGGCTATTAGATATCCGCCGCCCCCTGTCGATTCATCGCAGGGGTGCCTGGCGTGCTAGACCCTTTCGGTTTTGGTTTTGGTTCTGTTTCCAAAAGAACTCCCCCTGGGGCTTCGGCACGTCCCGCCAGCCACCCGGAAAATCCCCAATTCCCCAAGTTCCTGCCCAAGACGGCTCCAAAAACGGCCGTTTCGCTCGGGACATCCTCAAACAATCGCGAAGATGGCCCAAGATGGCCTCCAAGTCCGCCCAAGATGGTCCAAGACGGCCTCCAAGACGGCCCAAGAGAGCCCAAGACGGCCCAAGACGGCCCAAGAGGCCCCCCAGAGGCCTCCCAGACGGCCCAAGAGGCCTCCAAGAGGTCCTCCAGGAGGGCCCGAAGAGGCCAAAATCATTGATTTTCCTTAGGTGTTTGAAGGATGTTGGCATTTGCGCCTTTTCGGCTTTCCGACGGCTCAAGACGGCCCAAGAAGCCCCCAAGATCGCCCAAGAGGCCCCCAAGAGGGCCCCATGACGGCCCGAGTGGCCTCCAAGATGGCCCCAAGAGGGCCCCAAGACGGCCCAAGAGGCCTCCAACACGCCCAAGATGGCCTCCAAGACGCCCAAGATGGCATCCAAGACGGCCCTGGAGCATTCCAAGAGGGCCCCAAGTCGGCCCATAGAGGCCCCCCAAACTGCTTTCGACGGCGACAGACGTGCCAGGAACCCACCAAGATGGCCGAAGTTGGCTCGAAGCTGGCCCAAGACGGCCCAAGAGGCCCCCAAGAGGGCCTCCAGGAAGGCCAGAAGAGGCCAAAAACATTGATTATCCTGCGGTTTCTGACGGATTCTGGCTTTTCCTTCTTTTCGGCCTTCCGACGGCCCGAGACGGCCCAAGAGCCCGCAAAGATCGCCGAAAGCTTGCCCAAGAGGCCTCCAAGACGGCCAAGATGACCTTCAAGATGCCCTCGTGTTCCCCGAAGGCTTTCCAAACCGATTCGGTGAACACATGGTCCGAACGGCTTGGCAGGTCTGGCCTCAACGTTCGGCCACATAGGCGCTTCCACAAAGGCAGGGGGCGGCGGTGATTCGCCGTAGGCGTCTTCGATAAGACAGTGGGCTGGTACCAGACCCTTGATTGACGTCATCCCCCCTCTGACGCAACTGGTCCACACTTCCCCAGCATCCTTCCTGCTAGCTACCCCACTGCCCACGCGTTCTGTATTCCATTTCTCGTGGGAGGCCCCCCCGAGGTAGCTCGGAAGCCTCTCAGGGGCCGTTTTGGAGCCTCTTGGGGCCTCTTGGGGGCCTCTTGGGGTCCATCGCCACAACAGCCGCGACGACCGCCAATGCCTCCACCGCCGCCGCCACCGCCGCCACCACCATCGTCACGACCTCCATCGTCGATGAAGCGCAAGCAGGCGTGAGGAAGGCATCCAATCGAAGTGATGAGAATAGCAGCTGGCATCCTCCAAGGAGTCCACCATCTTGACGATCCTGGCCAAAGAGAGGTCAGACTGCACAAGGGTGAAGAGTAGGAGGGGAGAGACGGAAAGGGAGGGAGGGAGGGAGGAGGGGAGCAGGATGAAAAGGAGCAACAGCAGGACGAGCAGGAGTGGAGACAGAGTATACATAGAAGACGAAGAAAAGCAATGAGAAAAAGAATAAGAAGAAGAAACATCAGAAAAATGATAATAAGAAGAAGAAGAAGAAGAGGGGGAATCGGAGGAGGGCGGCCGCTATAGCAATCATACAGTTAACTGGCCATGCAGCAACGAAGAGGTGACACCACTTTTCGCCTATAAAATCCGGCGCGCCCCGTGCCCAAAATCCCTTCACGCATGCGCAATTACTTACCGTTTGAGCACTGTTGCTCTCCGACGAGGCTCGCAGTCGCGTGCCTCGGCCTCTTTCCGGGAAGGAAAATGGATCACGCGCCTGCTGGGCTTCAACACGTGCAAGTTTGCCCAGCAGGCGCAGACATTGAAGGAATTGGCAAAGACCGAGAAAAGGAGGCTGCAAGAGATCATCAGGACCTCAGCTGGCAAACCTCGTCGAGGCACCTCCTCTCGCCCCAAGCCTTCGGTCGGCTGAGGGCCCGCGAGAAGCCTGGGCCCTCGCCCTGAAAACGGTTGCGCATCCCCCTTGGGCTCCCGGTGCGTGCACACGTTTCGGCGGGAACGACAGGAGGGTGTGCCTACTCGTGGGTCGGTGCCGTGCCCCTGGAGGGCACGAAGGGGGCCGTGTTACCTCTTCCTGTTGTCGCTCCCATTCAACAACGTTGTCCTCCTCCTCATGATCCTCCTCCTCCTCCTTTTCCTCCTCCTCCTTTTCCGTCCTCCACCATTATCTCCCCATCCCCCTGGACGCTAGACCTGCAAGTCACGACGATCTCCAGGAAAGAGGTGGGGGACAGACAATAATGCTGAACCCAACCACTTCGGAGAGTTCACGAACCACTTCGGAACGATTACAGACACTGGAAGCGGACTGATCGCAACGTGTAGATTGTAATCATACAAAACGAACGCCAGATTACAACCAGGGATGTTTGCTTCAGCTCCCCCATGCTTAAAGGACCTCTGAGGGACTGTTGAGCACTCCTGAAGGGATCTTGTGAATCTTGGGGGACTCTCGACGGTTCCTGCAGGGTTCTTGCGGATTCCAGACGGATTATCGAGGATTCCAGAAGCGTTCTTGGGGATTCCTGAAAGATCCTTGAAGATTCCTGAAGGGTTCCTGAAGAATTCTCGAAGGTTCCCAAAGGACACTTGAGGATTCCTGAAGGATTCTTGAAGACCCCTGAAAGAAAAACAAAAAAAAGAGATGCCAGACTGATTCTTGAGGATTCCTGAAATATCATTGCGGATTCTTCAAGGGTTCGTCAAGGTTTCTGCAGGATTCCTGAGGATCCCTGAAAAATTCTTGGAACGTCCTGAAGGATTCTTGAAGATGCCAGAAATGTTCTTGAGGCCCCCAGACGGATGTTCAAAAATGCCGCAGGATTCCTCCTGAAGGACGTTTGAAGACCCGAGAATCTCTGTTCACTGGCTCAAGAAATAGGGAATCCTACTGGGTGGCGCTACGTCCGTTTTCGGCCTCCCGAGGGGCGCCACGACGTTTTGCCACTTCCGCCACCAGCTGAAATCCTTAAAGCCGAGAAGCGAACTCTGATCCTGAGGGATTCCGATCAGATCCCTGAGGGACTGTGGAAGGATTCCTGAAGGATTCATGAAAGAGTCTCGCTGGATTCCCGAAGGTTTCCTAAGGTACTCTGGAGAGATTCCTGAAGGACTCTTGCGGATTCCTGAAGGACTCGGGAGGGATTCCTGAGGGACTCTTGCGGGCCCCTGAGGATTCCAGGGAGGTGTCCGGCTGTTGTTGGGGGATTCATGAAGATGCCTGAAGGATTCCTGGGGACTCCTGAAGAAGTTCTGACGATTCCTGAAGGACGTCTGAAGGGTTCATGTGGTTTGTTGGAGCTTCCCAAAAAGATTCTTGAGAATTCATGCGGGAGGCCGGGTAGATGTTGGATGGGATTTGCTTCACGGCTTCTTGATAAATTCTTGAGGGTCTGGAAGGATTCCTGAAGGACTCTGGAAAGGGGCCTGGGGGGTCTTGCGGTTTCTTGAAGGGCCCTGGAGGAATTCCTGAAGGACTCTTGCGGCGTCCCCCAGATTTCTGGAGGATTCCTCAATGATTCCTGAAGGATTCTTGAAGGACTCTTGAGTTCGTCATTCCTCATGCGTTCTCCGTCGTGGACGCGCTGTCAATCGCCAGCCGTGCGTCTTCACTGGTCCATCGTCGTCGTGCTCTCTGTCTCTCTCGCTCTCTCGCGCGCGCCGCCGCCCGTGGGGAATGGGATAGGGAAGTGCAGGAGGAGGAGAAAAAACGGGGGAGGAGGACAATGTGGTGGACGAGGAGGAAGAGGTGGAGAATGATACCATGATGACGATGCTGGCAAGTATGGTGATGATGATGGCGACCACGATGATAAAGATGATAGTCAAGATGCTGGTGATGATGAAGATGATGACGGTCATGATGATGGTCATGTTGATAATGATGATGTTGATGATGATGGTGGTGATGGTGATGGGGATGATGATGATGGTGATGATGCGGATGATGAGGATGACGATGATGATGGCGACGGTGATGGTGGTGGTGATGGTGATGATAATGCTGATGCTGACGATGAGGATGGTGGTAATGGTGATGCGGATGCTGGTGCTGATGCTGATGCGGATGATGACGGTGATGGTAATGATGGTGATAACGATAACAATGGCGATAACGATGGCGATGACGATGACGATGGTGATGATGATGATGACGATGGCGATGATGATGCTGATGATGCTGTATTCCTTTAGAGGCTAGCGGAGCACGATTATGTTGTTCGATCTGGACTTGAGGCTTTCGCTACTGCTGCATAGTTGGCGTTTAACAAGGCCTTGAGGCCCATCGTACAGCCAGGAGAACCGATTCAAAACGCACCCTGTGTTAAATGGGGGGGGCTGGGACGGGAAGCTTGGGCACAAACGGTCACCTACCATTGCAATCACGACAGTCGCCTGCGAGGAAACAGCAATCCCGTGGCACCCACAATCATGCTGTATTCCTCTAGAGGCTAGCGGAGCACGATTCTGTTGCTGGACCTGGACTCGAGGCTTTCGCTACTGCTGCATAGCTGGTGTTTGACAAGGCCTTGAAGCCCATCGCACAGCCAGGAGAATCGATTCAAAACGCACCCTGTGTTAAATGGGGGGGGGGGGGCTGGGACGGGAAGCTTGAACGCACACGATCACATACCATTGCAATCACGACAGTCGCCTGCGAGGAGACAGCAATCCCGTGGTACCCACAATCATACTGTATTACTCTAGAGGCTAGCGGAGCACGATTCTGTTGCTGGCTCTGGACTCGAAGCTTTCGCTACTGCTGCATAGCTGGTGTTTGACAAGGCCTTGAAGCCCATCGCACAGCCAGGAGAATCGATTCAAAACGCACCCTGTGTTAAATGGGGGAGGGCTGGGACGGGAAGCTTGAGCACAAACGATCACAGACCATTGCAATCACGACAGTCGCCTGCGAGGAGGCAGCAATCCCGTGGTACCCACAATCATACTGTATTACTCTAGATGCTAGCGGAGCGCGGTTCTGTTGCTGGACCTGGACCCGAGGCTTTCGCGACTGCTGCATAGTTTGCGTTTGGCATGGCCTTAAGGCCCATCGTACAGCCAGGGGGATCTTTTCAGAACGCACCCCGAATCGAGTGCCGGGACAGGGGCCCGAATCGGTAGTTCTCCGCGCAGCGTCACAAATAATTCTTGGATTCCATTCGAAGAACAGATGCTGAGAGAAGAGCCTGGGCCAGGGCGCCGGCCAGCCGAGGAGAGTAAGCGGCCGACGCCGCTGTCGCCCGCGACCCCTCTACAACTACATGTTTGCGCCCTGTCGCCGAGCAAAACCCGCGCTTGCCCTGGCAGCGGCTCTCGACGGGGCAGCCCAGTCTCCCCAAGTCTAGCTCGTCGCAACAGCCGAAAGCCATTATGGTGGCCTTCCCTGTGCACAGAGCCAAATTGGCACTGATGGATATCGCAGATTTTCGAGTGCGCGGTCTCTAGAGCGTGGCACAGCGTCACATCGTGACACATATAGTTGGATTGCGGGTGCTCGATACAAAAGGGGACCCGCCCTCGCACGCACACGCGTGCGACTTGAATTCTAGAATCGAGAAAACGGTTCCCCAGCCTTACCTTTGCCTTCCTGTCGGCTGGGAGCCTATGAAGGCCTCTTGGGCGCTGCTTGCTTCGAATCGGGCACGACGAATTCTGAACAATCGGAAGGAGGCACACGGCGGGGCCATCATGGCGGCCAGGACCCGCCCCCTGCGCAGGCTGGTCAAAACCTGAGCCTGCACGCACTTTCTCAGGGGGCCCCCTGCAGGGCCCCCACCGAGGTCGCACTCTCTGGTCTCGAACCTCCAGAGCAGCGCAGCTCGCGCCACCCCGCCGACTCCCGAGAAGAGGTCCAGGAAGCACGCCGTCGCCTCTACGTCATCGGACGCGCCGGCAGGGGGGCCCCTCGCAGGTACGCGTCGACCAGGCATTCCTCGCAGACGAGGGCCTGTGCCTGTACGTCTGGGTTCAGCTTTCTCCACGCATCGTTCAGGTGACCCGTCTTCTCGCAGCGCGCGACTGAGCGAAATGATGACTACTCGCCTCCACTTGGGTCCTCAGGTGGAACGCCCGGTCGAGGCTGATGCCGCTGTGCCGAGCCTGGTACGGCACCACCTCGATCCCCAAACGCTCCCCTGCGCCCTGCGCCAGCCTGCCAAACGGCTGGTAGTCCCGCGGGAACTGCCTCTCCGACGCGGGGCATGAGGCCAGGTGCGCCAGCACTGGGTCGGCACACCGCGTCCGCTCGGAGTTCATCACCACGGTGTCGTCGGCGCCCCCAACCTTGTTGCGCTTGGCCTCCTCCCGGGGGAAGAGGTGCAGGCTCCAGTCTCGGAGCCCTCCGTGCGCCAGGAGCACCAGGGACCCACGTCGGAGACTTAGCAGCTCGGACGGCCTCAGGAACGCGTCTACCATCAGCAGCGCCCCAAAGCCGGCCCGCCCCTGCCCGCTCCTCAGCAGCTCCAGTGCCAGGGCGGCCCAAACGGCCAACGGGAGGGGCCGACGGCCGTGCTTCGGGCACATATTCCCCCATCCCTTCAGGCACCGGAGGGTCCGCGGCAGGCGCCGGCCCCCCCCTCTCGCGAAGCTCGGGAGGGCGCGCATCAGGGCGGCCACCATGCGCTCGCCCCGCCACGCCGTCCCCGAGCTGGTGCCGCATGTTCATCCACGACACGAGACACTCGCCCACCTCGTCGCCCTCGCGCAGCGCCGTGTTCTCCTGGTCGGCGAAGGCCAGGAGCTCTCGCACACAGTCCCGAAATCGGACTCGACTGGCCTCGGACACGCTGGTGGCCTCCAGGCTCTGCCCAGGGAGCCTCGCCACGGCCCCTCCGGCCATCCGAGCCACGCGCCGCCGCGCCCGCTGTCGGGCCAGCAGCTCGCTCCGGCGGCCCGCCCTAGCTGGCACCTCCTCGGAGGCGGAGTCGCTCTCGCCGTCCTCGACGGTCAAGGCGGCGCATGCTGGCGGCGGGCCCTGCCTGGCCACGATCTCCAGCGAGACGGTCGGCTCCAGCGCAGGCGC